AAAAAAAAAGCTGATCATGCTTCCTCTATATTCTTCCTCATTGGCATCTCTATTACTCCCCAAGCTTGAAACTTCGAAGTTTGTTTCTACTCTTTATCTTCTTTGTTCAGTGAGACACAGAGCTCCAAGAAAACAAGGACTCTTGGCCTGATTTGCTTTTATGTTCTTTCATAAAGTGGTATTTGAAGCTCTTACTAATATATTTGATAATGGAAGAACCAGTGGGTTGGGTCCATAAGAATGTGTTAAGCCTGTAGGCTGCCACTGTTTTTCTTAATTACTCTTTCAATGCCTTAAGAGCTTCAATGAATGGGTAGCTAAGCTATACCTATTCCACTCCCCGAAACATAGGTTCTTGCTGACTTTAGATTCACGGAAGTAATCACGATCAAGATCAAGTTGATCACAACAGTGTTCCTGTGGAAACAGGGTGGGACAGAGTAGAGATTACAACGTGTCTCTTAGGGATTGGTACCTATGAAAGGAAGAGGGAGCAAGATTGAGCAAAGGAGATGGTTGAATGTGACACAGGCCCAACAAAGCTTGGAGCAGACAGAGAGTCTCTGGGTAAATGCTTCATCTATTGTCTCCCTTTAGACAAAGTGGTAAACCTTTTAACAGGACCCCTCAGACTCATCATTGTGCGAGCCTCCTTGTCCCAAGAGAGGCATGGCCTTGTGAAAGATGGCTGTAGCTGTTACGATAAAGAGGGAAGTGACAGACAGATGGCTATCAGCATATCCCTCTCATTTCTTTGAGAGAATCGGCTAAGTTGTACAACCTCATACAAGATTTTGAAATTTGCAAGGACTCAAGATCCTTTGTTTATAAAATATGAAAGTGCATACTTAGTGGTTAAAAGGGAATTGAAACAAAATTCTTGCTCTTTAAATTATGTGTACATGGGATAGGGACATATGTGTTCATGAGTGTAGGTTTCTGAGGAGGCCAGAGACATTTGATCCTCTATGGGGCTGAAATTATAGGCAAAATTGCAGGTTATGGGCCACTCATTGTAGTTGTGGGAACTGAATTTGGGTCCTCTGCAAGAGCCCCAAGTATTCCAAACCACTGAGCTATCTCTCAGTCAGTCCCAAAATTACTTTTAGAGAATCTCAGAATGTGTTTTGTTGACAAACTAAGCTCAAAATCCTATTTTTCCTACATAGTCTTCCTTTGTTTTCTTGAAAAATTCGGTCCTCTAACATTCTTTGCTCACGTTTTATAGATCCATCGACGAATAAATAGTTGTATCCTATGAAATACACTAGTGCTTATGCTGATAAGATGGCAACTTGATATTCAGCTTTTGGTCTGGGCATGATGGAAAGCATTGAGGACTGTGGCAAACTATACAATCTAAGTTCTAGGCCCACGAGTACGTTGCCAATTTTGATAGACATTTGCCATTCAGCTCTCCAAGATGCCCCTTCCCAACCTTCTTGCTACTGCTGTGTGCCCTTTGAGCCTAACCTTTATCAGCTCCCTCCAGAGGGTCGCTTGACGTCTAGCTTCTAGTATCACATGACCCATGGAGAACAACAGTGGTCTACAAGAGATACAGAGAGTGAGGGTTCTTCAGAATCTTTCTGGAGGAGTCTCCGTAGCTGCTTGTGTCCTTGCTCCCCTGAAGTTCCGGCTCACTCAGACAGACCTCTCCACATGGTACTGGCTGTCTGATTTCATTGCTTCCCCCTCATCTGGCTCCTCCAGGATTGCAGATACACACAGGAAGTGTCAGTTGAAGGAAATCCCTCTTTAGTTTGTAGTTTCCGTACAC